TGATGTGATGATGGCACCTGTTTTCTGTACTCCCTGGGAGGCTGAGTTGTTAGCAGCACCTGAGCTGAGGACTTCAAAGCTGCAGTGAGCTATGAAGTCATTGGTCTCCTTCTTATTGTTTTCTTTCTTTCTTTCTTTTCTCCTTTCTCTTTCTTTTTCTTTTTTTTGAGGCAGGATCTCACTCTGTCAGGCAGACTGGAGTGCAGTGGCAGGATCTTGGCTCACTGCAGCCTTGACCTCCCAGGTTCAAGTGATCCTCCCTCTTCAGCCTCCTGAATAGCTGGGATTACAGGCATGAGCCCCCACACCCACCTGATTTTTTATGTTTCTTTTTGCAGAGGTGGGGTTTTGCCATATTGCCTACCCTGGTCTTGAACTCCTGAACTCAAGTGTTCAGCCCCTCTTGGCCTCCCAAAGTGCTGGGATTATAAGCATGAGCCACCACGCCCAGCCTTTATTATCATCTTTCTGTGGGATTATGGAAAAAAAAGTCGTACACATGGGATGAAGATTGGGTATGGTTTAGCTTATGGGAAAACAGGTACATCTATCTTTTTTTCTTAACCTGTAGAATTCTATAAGTTTTACAAAATTTTTACAACATTTTGAAGACCTTAAAATATTAGACAAACTAAATGGGAAATAAACTCCAAAATGTCACAATTTGGTTATAAAATAGGTCAATTTTACCATAAGATATACATTAACGGGAGGCTGAGGTGGGAGGATCATTTGAGGCCAGGAGTTTGAAACCAGCCTGGGTAAAATAGCAAGACCCCATATCTCTGCATAAAATTTTAAGACCAGGCATGGTGGCTGACACCTGTAATCCCAGAAATCTGGGAGCCTGGGGCAAGCAGATCACTTGAGGTCAGGAGTTCATGACTACTTTGGCCAACATGGTGACACCTCATCTCTACTAAAAATACAAAAATTAGCTGGTGTGGTGGCTCAGACCTGTAACCCCAGCTACTCAAGAGGCTGAGGCAGGAGGATCACTTGAACCCAGGAGACGGAGGTTGCAGTGAGCCGGGATCACACTACTGCACTCCAGCCTGGGCAACAGAGTAAGACTCTGTCTAAATAAAATAAAAATTTAAATAAATTAGTAAGTCATGGTGGTGCACACCTGTGGACCTAGCTACCTGAGAGGCTGAGGTGGGAGGATCACTTGAGCCCAGGGAATTCCAGCTTGCAGTGAGCTATGATTGCACCACTGTACTCCACCCTGGGCAGAAGAGCAAGAGCCTGTCTCTTAAAAAATATGAAACACATTAAAATTTTACTTAATCTAAATTAACTATTAATTTAGGTCCTTGATAAGAACAAATTGGCTGACTTTTCCATTGAAATGCATTTTGGTCTTAGACTCACAAAACTATATACACAGTGACCTGTATTCATTTGTAATAGTTTTGACTGAAGATATATTTTATACTTACATTTCCATTTGCTTCTAACCATCAGTGCATCTAAGGAAGGAATCAGATTAAAGATTTAAAAAGATGGATTTTAGGTTTACCAGAAATCGAAGGAAGTAACCAGATTAAAGTTTTAAAAAGATGGATTTCAGTTTTACCAGAAATAGAGTCAATTTTCCCAAAATAGAATAGCTTTGAGCCTGAATCATTGTATTGAGAATTTTTAGAAACTCACCTGCTGAACTTTTCTTCGGTCTGCAGCACACGTAACATTGACTGCCTGGCAAGTGAGGGAGTGATGCTCATGCAGCATCTTGCAGCTGTTTCCATGTGCACCCCAAGTCAGGCTGCCTTCCTGACCGGCCGGTACCCCATCAGATCAGGTGAGGCAATAAAAAGGCAGCAACATTTCAGTATCACCAGAATGTATTATAATGATTAGTTTTTGCAAATTTTTGTAAGAATTCCCAAATGGTCACTCAGAGTATTAGGAATCTAAATTCAAAGGGGGATGTTATCCCTTGGACAGCTTTAACAGGTGTGCCTCTCACTGGGTACAACCACACTTGCCCATCTCTGTGCATATAGTGACAGAGTTTAGGCCTCTTGGGGGCAATTTGCCAACTTATGGTGAACACTCCCATTTTCAAGTACTTTTGTGCTAAGATTTCCCAAGAGGCTCCAATGTCTTTAAGCTAGCGGAGATTGTGCAGTGGTTCTGAGGTAAGTGGATATAATCCATCTCTGAGAATGAGATTGGAAAACTAGACACAATTGGGAAAAAAGTATAACTGAGAAAACAAACATGAAATGACACTTTTACATATTCTCTTACTTGACCCCATAATTTCAAGATTTAGACTTGCCAAATTGATATAATGACAATTAAATGTTTTTCTTTGCAACTTAGCTGAGAATCAATACCTACAAATATTCACTCAAAATCAATATTATGAACAACAATTTTTATACCCAGCTAAAATATAGAGGTGACCTTAGACACTATTGAAGTATTCATGGTTATCATCCTCTATGTGAAATACTGCCCCATACTTTTGTATTTTATTTAATTCTAGTATTTGTTTGTCATAATTTTACTATACTTGCCCTCACAGTTTAATTTTTCAGTGAAAAATTTTTCTGTATGAATTTTCTTCCAAGTAGTAGTTTTCACCCAATACACTTCAAGAATGAACTAATTAGGTTAATTAGAATTATAGTAAAAGTAAGAGTAAATATTGAAAGTTTTTGTCTCATAAATATTGTTATATTATTATCTATTTTTGTTGCCTAATGACCTTCTTTCATAATTCAAGGTTTTCCATTTTGTTCAAAACAGTTTGGTTTCTAGATAAGCAGTCTCTGTATAACACAGTACCATGTATGGAAAGGGATAAAGATATGAATCTGTATAAGTTTCCAAAAACATCACACTTACAACTTCAGAATTTTTTTTCTGAGATAGACTCTTGCTCTATTGTCCAGCCTGGAGTGCAATGGTGTGATCTCAGCTCACTGCAATCTCCACCTCCCTGGTTCAAGTGATTCTTCTGCCTCAATACCCAAGTCACTGGGATTACAGGCATGCACCACCACACCTGGCTAATTTTTGTATTTTTAGTAGAGATGGGGTTTCACCATGTTGGCCAGGCTGGTCCCAAACTCCTGGCCTCATATAATCCAACTACCTTGGCCCACCCAAACTGTTGGGATTACAGGAGTAGGTTATCATGCCTGGCATAATTTCTAAGTATTGATTACAGTGAAATAAAATTTATTTTTTAAAATTAAGAACAAAATTAAGTGATTGGTGGTCATTGTCATGTGTATATTTTTAATCATTTGATACCAACTGTTCAGTTTAATTCATTCTACTTATCAAAAATTTCAGCAAAACAGTTCAACACCAATATAATAGTCTAATGAAACCCTTAGTGAAACTGTTCCTCTTTCCTATCAATGACACTATGTAGAGTCTACTTTCTTCTTCTTCCAAGGTAAGACCCTGAAATACTTTTTTTCTTTTGAGATGGAGTTTCATACTTGTTGCCCAGGCTGGAGTGCTCTGCCTCCCATGTTTAATCAATTCTCCTGCCTCAGTCTCCTGAGTAGCTGGGATTATAGGCACCTGCCACCAGGCCCGGTTAGTTTTTGTATTTTTGGTAGAGATGGGGTTTCATCATGTTGGCCAGGCTGGTCTCCTGACCTCAGGTGATCCATCCACCTTTGCCTCCCAAAATTCTGGGATTACAGGCATAAGCCACCAAGCCCTGTCTGAAATTATCATTTATTTATTTCTTGTTGATCTTCACTTGTGGTTTTCTTGTAAATTCCGTTTAAACTATAGGTGTGTAAATTCGTCTACCAGTATAAATCTACATAAAACAATATGGAGGCCAGGCATGGTGGCTTACACCTGTAATCCTAGCACTTAGGGAGGCCAAGGTGGGTGAATCACTTGAGGCCAGGAGTTAGAGACCAGCCTGGCCAACATGATGAAACCCTGTTTCTACTAAAAAACAAAAATAGCCAGGTGTGTGGCACACATCTGTAATTCCAGTTCCTCGGGAGGCTGAGGCACAAGAATTGCTTGAACCTGGAAGGCGAAGTTTGCAGTGAGCCAAGGTTGTGCCACTGCAATCCTGCCTTGGTGACAGAGTGAAACTCCATCTCAAATATACGTATATATATATAAAGACATTGTCACACTTCTTCATTTCAGATTCTCAATGATACATTAAAAAATATATTTATATCCAGCTAATTACCCGAGTATTTATATCCAGCTAAAATGCAGTGGTATCCTCAGATGCTATTGAAGCATTGAAGGTTATCAGCCTCTACATGAAAAGCTAATGAAGGTTGTTTGTTGTTAGTCTGAAATTCATATGAATGTAACTGAGTGTCCCATATTTATTCTGGCAACTGTAATTCCAAGGTAAAGTTTGCATTTAGCAAGTGGGAAAAGGAGAGTCAAGGACATATAGCCAGAAAGGCAAGAGAAAACTTGGGGAAGAATGGCTTTGAGGAGGTGCAGGAGGAGAGAATTTTAAGCATGTTGCAATGAATCTGCTATTAGCAAAGACTATGGTGCTAACCCATTGCCATCTGTGAATTTAGGGATGGTGTCTCCCTGCAACCTGAATCGTGCCCTCACGTGGCTTGGTGGATCAGGTGGTCTTCCTACCAATGAAACGACTTTTGCCGAGCTACTGCAGCACCGTGGCTACTGCATGGGACTCATAGGTAAGGCTGGAACTCTGCCAATAGAAACGTGATCCTGCAGCCTCCCTGTCATAGTGTGTAAGGTGTTTCTGGGGATGTTGGCTCTATGTGTGACAGTTCACTGACTTCTCTTTGAGATAAGGCACTTGAAGAAGAAATTGATCACACATTGAAGATGTCTAGAATCCAGGGCATAATCTTGGAAAAACAATGAGAACAGAAAACAAACAAGTGTACCCAAAGTTGCCCCTAAAATGAAATATTGTGTTGGAGGGATACAACGTTTGTGATACCATTAGCAGCAGAAAAACTAGTAAATTTGTAGAGAACTACTGTTGAAATTGAGAACTTAAAGCATGAAGAGTTGTCAAATGGAGGCAATTGCTGGTCGATTTAGATCACATAATATTCTATGCCCTTTTGGAGCGGGGTGGACATGAGCTTGTGAGGGAGCCTTTCACCAAAAAATAAGCTTGTTTGTAGAATTACAAGCTTAGAAGATATTCCTCTGAATAACTTTTGTGACCAAATCTTTTTGAAAAATGCTACCCAAAAGCATTGTATGGTTCACTGTTTTGGAGGATTTTTTTTTTTTTTTTTTTTTTTTTGAGATAGAGTTTCACTCTTGTTGCCCAGGCTGGAGTGCAACGGCACGATCTCGGCTCACCACCACCTCTGCCTCCCGGGTTCGAGCGATTCTCCTGCCTCAGCCTCCCAAGTAGCTGGGATTACAGATATTTGCCACCATGCTCAGCTAATTTTGCATTTTTAGTAGAGACAGGGTTTTTCCATGCTGGTCAGGCTGTTCTCAATCTCCTGACCTCAGGTGATCTGCCCGCCTTCGCCTCCCAAAGTGCTGGGATTACAGGTATGAGCCACCACATCTGGCCCTATTTTTGAGGATTTTTAATGTGAATTATAAGCCACAGCTCTGAGATATCCTCAGCTAAGAAAACGTTTCCATCAATAGGGCATGTATTCCCATGTAAACCCCACCAGTGTCCTGTCAATAATTCTCTAGATTAGCTTTGCAGTGTTCTCACATTGTCGGAGCATGGGGTTCAGATCCGACTCTACCACAATTAATGCAACTCAGGCTTCTGAATAAATCTAGATAAGCTGGGTGCAGAGCCTCAGATCTGTAATCCCAGCACTTTGGGAGGCTGAGACAGAAGAATTGCTTGAGGCCAGGAGTTCAAGACCAGCCCGGGCCACCATAGCAAGACCTTGGGTCTACAAAAACAACATTTTAAAATTAGCTGGGTGTGGTAGAACACGTCTATAGTCCCAGCTACTCAGGAGGCTGAGGTGGGAGGATCGCTTGAGCCCAGGAGTTCGAGTCTGCAGTGAGCTAAAATCATGCCACTGCACTCCAGCCTGGGCAACAGAGCAAGACCTTGTCTCTTAAAAAAAAAATCTCTATAATGTGTTTTCTATTCATAGTAAAGGGTCTGGGAATGTTGAACACAATAATGTGTGCAGACAAATCAGAGCATGCCCTGGCCCCTCGCGTTGTGCTTGATCAAAGGACTTAGTTGCACCATTGTAATCATTTGGGTCTTGATGAAATTCTTTGGCTAGTTTGCCATCCCCAGCTTGGGGACCTAGAAGAGGTGTTCCATCTATAAAATCTCAATCACGTTTCAGTGAGATGGAATGAGAGGGTCGGAAGGCACCGCTAGATAAAAGCACGAGTGTGCAAGGTGCGCCGGAAATCCTTGCTGTTGTCCGCACCAGACAAGCAAGACATCGCCTCTGGCGTCCTAGCAGCCTCCAGATACCTGGCTGCTCATGAGGTTGTTTGGTATGAAGCAAAAGGCTTCTTCTGAATCCAACACCAGGCTCCTCTCCTTGTAGCAAAGAGGTTCCTGCTGCGCGGTTTTGTCTGAAAGAGGCGTACGGTAGGGAGAAGCCTGTTGGCGGCATGTCCATACCAGGGAAGTCATTGGGAATACCCAGAAAAATCCGTGATGACAACAGAGTGAGAGTTATGTTCGACTTTTTCAAAGGGAAGCCCACATTCCAGAGACCGATCAGCCTTGCTACGATTTTGTTTTACTCTTAGGCAAATGGCACCTGGGCTTGAGCTGCGCCTCTCGGAACGATCACTGCTACCACCCGCTCAACCATGGTTTTCACTACTTTTACGGGATGCCTTTCGGACTTTTAAGCGACTGCCAGGCATCCGGGAAGCCAGAACTGCACCGCTGGCTCAGGATCAAACTGTGGATCTCCACGGCACTCACTGGCCTCGTTCCTTTGCTGCTTCTCATTCTCAAGCTTGCCCGCTGGTTCTCGGTGCCGTGGAAGGTCATCTTTTTCTCCGCTCTCCTCGCCTTTCTGTTTTTCACTTCCTGGTACTCAAGTTATGGATTTGTTCGGCGTTGGAATTGCATCCTTATGCGGAACCATGAAATTATCCAGCAGCCGATGAAAGAGGAGAAAGTAGCTTCCCTCCTGCTGAAGGAGGCGCTTGCTTTCATTGAAAGGTATTTAGTCATTTCTTGCCTGATTTCCTGCATGGAAATTTTATTTTATTTCCTAGCAGGATGTCACATCACACCTTGATAACACAGGCCTTTAAAAATCTTTCGGACAGAATGTGTGATATTTGGTTTTCTGTTCCTGCATTAATTTGCTTAGAATAATGGCCACCAGCTGCATCCATGTTGCTGCAAACGACATGTTCTCATTCTTTTTCATGGCTGTGTAGTATTTCATGGGATATAATGGGAGCTAAACATTCAGCCTCCATGGATGTAAACACGGAAATAATAGACGCCTGCAAACTTCTAGAGGAGAGAGGAAGACAGGTAGACATGGGTTGGAGATTACCTATTGGGTGCTATGCTCACTATCTGAGCTCAGTATACCATGTAACAGACCTGCGCATGCACCTCCTGTGTCTAAGATAAAAGCTGAGGAAAAAACATTTTAGGCGACGTTTATGGTAGACTTGAATCTCCTCTTAGGTTGAATAAAACAGTTAAATTTCCTGCAAATTTTGAATGCTCAAAAGGCAAAAAAACAATTTTTTGCTCACTTTTCCATTTTTAATATTTTTACTTTTTGGGACAGGATCTCACTCTGCCACCCAGGCTAGAGTGCAGTGGTGTGAACTTGGCTCACAGCAGCCTCCACTCCTAGGCTCAAGTGATCCTCCCACCTCAGCCTCCGGAGTAGCTGGGACTACAGGCTCACACACTATGTCTGGCTAATTTCTGTTGTTTTTTTTTTTTTTTTGTAGAAACGGGGTTTTGTCATGTTGCCCACGCTGGTCTCAAACTCCTGGGCTCAAGTGATCTGCCCACCTCAGCTTCCCAAAGTGCTGGGATTACACTGTGCCTGGCCACTTACCCCTTTTTAAAAACAAAAATCTAGGCCAGGTGCAGTGGCTCACACCTGTAATCCCAGCACTTTGGGAGTCTGAGGCAGGCAGATCACAAGGTCAGGAGTTCAAGACCAGCCTGGCCAACATGGTGAAACCCCATCTCTATTAAAAAACAAAAATTAGCTGGGCGTGATGGCTCGTGTCTGTAATCCCAGCTACTCCGGACGCTGAGGCAGAAGAATCGCTTGAACCAGGACCCAGGAGGCGGAGGTTGCAGTGAGCTGAGGTCACGTCACTGCACTCCAGTCTGGGCTACAGAGTGAGACTCCGTGTCAGAAACAAAACCAAAGAAAACCCAAAACAACAACAAGAACAAAAACCTGGAGTTACATATTTCAATCTACATTGCTTCAGCGTGGATTTCTATCTAAATTGATTAAACTTGGGAGGGTGAATATTTTTTCCTCTGTCTCAGACACAGCTGGAAGAGCTCTCTGTCCATGAACTTTTGGGAAGTGGCTCTGTGTTTGTAGAAACCTGGTTTTAACTTTTCTATGTTCAATACAAGCTTTGCAGGCATGACTGTAATGAGCCCTCATCATCCCATACCAGCTCGCTTCTACATTACAAATTATCATTAATATTATTTGGAGACAGGGTCTCACTCTGTCACTCAGGCTGGAGTGCAGTGGTGCAATCATAGTTCACTGTAGCCTCAAACTCCTGGACTCCAGTAATCCTCTCACCTCAGCCTCCTGAGTAGCTGGGACCACAGGCTCACATGACCACACCCAGTTAATTTTATAAAATTATTTTTTCGTAGAGACAGGGTCTTACTCTGTTGCTCAGGCTGGTCTCAAACTTCTTGGCTCTAGCAATCCTCCTGCCTTGACCACCCAAAATGCTGGGATTACAGGCATGAGCCGCTATGCCAGCCTAGACTACAAATCAGAGGCACATTCAAATTGTTTGTGTAGAGTTTCATTGACACTGTTTGTCACCTTCCTTACTGGGGCAGACAGGGAGGGAAGGACATATTGTTACTCTACCGGGCTGAAGGGCACACAGGGGAATATCCTTCACTCATATATCCCTGTGCACATCAGGTGATTTATTACAACACAACCCCAAGAACGGTGATGTAGCCACCCAACCAGCTCTCCGTTCATCTTACCTGCCCCTCCCATCCCAACCCACTTGCTTGGGCTATCTTTGTGTGAATATATTCAATCTCCATCTCCCTCCCTTCTTTCTATGCCGGTTGTTAAAATGTGTTAAGGAATAGCTTTAGAATGACTGCATGTGACATTAAAAAGCAGAACGCAAGGTCAGCCATGGTGGCTCATGCCTGTAATCCCAGCACTTTGGGAGGCTGAGGCAGGAGGATTGCTTGAGCCCACGAGTTTGAGACCAGCTTGGGCAATATAGTGAGCTCCCATGTCTACACAAAATTTTAAAAAGTATGCAAGCTTAGTGGTGTGTACGTGTGGTCTCAGCTCCTGGGGAAGATGAGGTGGGAGGATCACTTGAGCCCAGGAGGTCGAGGCTGCAGTGAGCTGTGATTGTATCACTACACTCCAGCTTGGGAAACAGAGTGAGACCTTGTCTCAAAATAAATAAATACATAAAATGCAGAGCACAAAAAGCAAGATGTACGTGAGGTGAATTGATTTCTCTCTTGTGGTAGGCAGGCTATAGATACAGTGAGGTTATTCACACCTTAGCTTTATCTTGTTCTCTGCCATCCAGTGTGAGCCGCTTCATGGCCCAAAGTGAATGCCAAAGCTCCAGCCATCAGACTTATGTTCTGGGAACCATGAAGGAGGTGGAAGAAAAAAAGAGGGGAAAATGGAGAATAAGGAGCATCAAATCCTTACTGAGGCACATCTGGGTGTGTCGCTAAGATATGATTCCTCTAAACTTATAACTAAAGAATGCTTTGAGATAATAGATGAGGAGAATTCATATGTTTTAAACCCATTCAACAAAGATGAAAAGATGTGTTAAGCTGCTACTTTATGTCAGAAGCTAAACTGGACCCAAGAGAATATAAAATGAACTGCATTAAACATTTTTTTTGTTAAGACAGAGTCTCACTGTGTGGCCCAGGCTGGAGTGCAGTGATGTGTTAAGAGTTTACTGCAGCCTCCACCTCCCAGGCTAAAGTGACTCCCTTGCCTCAGCCTCCTGAGTAGCTGGGATCACAGGTGTGCCATTATGCACAGCTGTATTTTTGTATTTTTTGTAGAGATGGGGTCTTGCTATGTTGCCCAGTCTGGTCCTGAACTCCTGGCTCATGCAATCCTCCTGCCTCAACCTCCCAAAGTGTTAAGAATATAGGCATGAGCCAGTGTGCCTGGCTACATTACACATTTTCCTGGGAACACAGATGTTCTGTTATCTGTCATTCCTCCTCATATCCTTTCAACAGAAATCTTGTGGCATTGTCGACGTACAGGAGTGGTATTGTCATCTAAAGTACATAGAAAACCTCCACTAACTGCTATCAGATCTTTTCATCAATGCAGAATCACATTTAAATGGCGGAAACGACTTGATCTGTGAAGGTAATTTTGCTAACTTTCTACCCCTTAGGTACAAACGGGAACCTTTTCTCCTCTTTTTTTCCTTTCTGCACGTACATACTCCACTCATCTCCAAAGAGAAGTTTGTTGGGCACAGTAAATATGGCAGGTACGGGGATAATGTGGAAGAAATGGATTGGATGGTGGGTAAGTATTCCGTGACGCCACTGTAACTATCTCAAGTGTGGGCTACAGATAATGTCCAGGCCCTCGCATAGCATAGATCCCTAATAAGTATTTGTTTCATCCCTGAATTGAATTAAAAGCTGGCTTTTAGTTGCTCATCAATACCAGTAAAATGTATTCCCCAAGTTAAGTGTCACAGTTTGTAAATATACGTTTTCCCATCTTTAAGATAAAGACAGCCACTTTTCAGAAAAACTCATTGGCGAGATAAAGTTGCACTGTAAAGAATACTGTCATTCCTGGCCAGGCACACAGTGGCTCACACCTGTAATCCCAGCACGTTGAGAGGCCTTGGAGGGCAGGTCACTTGAGGTCAGGAGTTCTAGACCTGGTCAACATGGTGAAACCCCGTCTCTACTAAAAATACAAAAATTAGCCGGGCGTGATTATGCGGGCCTGTGGTCCCAGCTACTCAGGAGGCTGAGGCAGGAGAATCGCTTGGATCCAGGGTGTGGAGGTTGCAGTGAGCCGAGATTGCACCACTGCACTCCAGCCTGGGCGACAGACTGAAAAAAAAAAAGAATATTGTAATTTCAGTTCCTGGTTATTTTTATGGATATAAAAGGAACCACTATTCAGAGTAGTCGATTTTAGAGAAAATACATAGAAATTTGGGGTGAGAGTTTAGCCCAACTAAGGCATGGTGGGCAATAGAAAGAAATACTAAGGGTAATAACGAGCAGGTGGGAAGAGTCGCTGCATGCATTCTGCACTATTGAATAACGGCGCTGTTTGAACTGCATCCCCCCTACCTCCATGAAAACTGTGCCCTGCCAAACTGTTTAAACTAACAGTCACCCAGTTATCAGTTGCCTCTGTCTATTTATAGTGAGTGCCTTTGAAAGAAACAGAGCTTAATTTAAATGCATTTACGGGGTGTTAATCAATCAACTTTTATTATAAATAACTTTTTTCTCTGGAAAACACAATCTAAGTGAGCTATAAAATACTAGTTAAAATGACTGAAGAACTAGTGCTGCCAGGTAGGACAAAGTGGGGGATCTCGTCATGGGATAAGTTTCTTTCTTTCTTTCTTTCTTTCTTTCTTTCTTTCTTTCTTTCTTTCTTTCTTTCTTTCTTTCTCTCCTCTCTCTTTCTTTCTCTCTTTCTTTCTTTCTTTCTTTCTTTCTTTCTTTCTTTCTTTCTTTCTTTCTTTCTTTCTTTCTTCTTTTTGAGACAGTCTCTCTCTGTCTCACAGGCTGGAATGCAATGGTGCGATCTTGCTCCTGTAACCTCCACCTCCTGGATTCAAGTGATTCTCCTGCCTCAGCCTCCTGAGTAGCTGGGACTACAGGCATCCCCCACCACACCCGGCTAATTTTTGTATTTTTAGAAGAGACGGGGTTTCACCATGTTAGGCTGATCTCAAACTTCTGACTTTGTGATCCGCCTGCCTCGGCCACCCAAAGTGCTGAGATTACAGGTGGAAGCCACCGTGCCCAGCCAAATTTCTCTGTTGTATTTCCACTATGTTATGTTTACCTAACATTCTAGAAACCATGGTAATATTTACCATCTATATTTAATCTCAAAGAGGAGATAGAATAGAAAGAGGCACAGGGAGTGGAGACTCATGCCTGCAGTCCCAGAACTTTTGGAGGTTGAGGTGGGAGGATTGCTTGATCCCAGGAGGTTGTGATCAGCCTGGGCAACACAGCAAGACTCTGTCTCTACAAAAACATACAAACATTAATCAGGCATGGAGTCCTGCACACGCCTTGTAGTTCCAGCTACTTAAGAGGCTGAGCTGAGAAGATCGCCTGAGCCTGGGAGGTGGAGGTTGCAGTGAGCCGAGATTGCACCACGGCACTCCAGCCTGGGCAACAGAGTGAGAGCCTGTCTCAAAAAAAAAAAAAAAAAAAAAAGAATCCAAGGAAAGTCAGTGCTACCAGGAAGGCATTTAAGCAGAAACCGGGAGAAAAGAAGGAATGTATTAACAGGAAAACCTTAAGGGCTTAAAGGCAACTAATCCCTGACATCAAACCTCTTTTTAAGCTTGTTGAACTAAAGCAAAGCTCTGTATTGATTAATGTAATCTTTGCTGTGGGATGTGTGTATGTGGGTGTATATATACATACTCACCCAGTTACAGTTATTTTATTTGCATGGTATAAATTACAGATCACTTTTATGCATAATACTATAGCCAGATTTAATATGAGTTAAACTATACACACTTACCATATGTTATATACATATATATACACACACACACACACACACACACGCCATATGGTTTATATGTATATACACGTTATGTTTTGTATATATATATACATAGTACTGTACGTTGCATATACACACATATAATATATACAGTGTAATTCCTTGGTAATGAAATACAAACACTGAAATGTGTTACAGTTAAAAACAGCTATAACATTGTAGCCTTAATGTAATTAGATAATTGGGATTCTTTTTCTTTGCTTCTTTTGAAATTGCTTACTATAGTTGTACTTTTAGCCAAATGACAGTGTCCTGCAAAGGGAATTTCTGTTGAAGTCTATATCTGAGTATTTATCACTAAGAAATAATTATGTTTGTTTTATCATATATGTAAATACATGATGAAGACGTGTTACAAAATCTATCAATTGCATCAATGAATGGCGAATATTATTTTACACAGGGGAAGTGATGAGTAGCTATTTTTCTGCATAACGTCTCTCAAATATTCTGAATGGGTTTAGAGACTAAGTGAAGTCACTCAGGAATGGAAAATCAAACGTCGTATGTTCTCACTCATAAGTGGGAGCTAAGCTGTGCGGATGCAAAGGCAGAAGAATGGCACAATGGACTTCTGGGGACTCGGGGGGAAGAAAGGGTGGGAAGGGGCTGAGGGATAAAAGGCCACAAACTCAGTGCAGTTCGACACTGCTCCTGGTGACGGCTGCACCAGAGTCTCACAGATCACCGCTGAAGAACTTCCTCATGTGACCAAACACCACCTGTTCCTTCAAAGCCTATGGGACTAAAAAAATAAAAATAAAAATAAAAAATTATGTATGTTTGACTTATTTCAATGGACCTATACTGTCGCACTGTCTTTACTAAGGAGTAATATGAAAGTGCTAAGTGAAATACAAATAGCTGTCTTTAATGTTAGCTATGAAACAAGGGTATCTTTTTCCTGAGTGATCTGGGGCAACCAGATTAGACTTACTTGTCCGCAAAAGAATTCCTTACAAAGGACTGAGCAGTTCCTCTGCTAATCCTTGTTTTAAGATCTCTAAGACATTCTTATGTTCTCATGACTCTCAGAACGAAGGCTCATCTTGAATTTAGAATGCCCTAGAACAGAATCTTAGGATCTTCACCTGAGAAATAACTTCTGAAATCATCTTCTCAAATGCTCTTAGTTTTGCAGATGAAGAACACGGAGTGTGGAGACATGAAGAGGCTTTGGTGAGTCTACACCGTAAAGGGAGCAGGACCATGAGGTCCGGACCCCAGGTTATCAACCCCAAATGCAAGGTCCTTCTCCCTCCCCAGCTCCTGTCCTTCCATTTTCTGTAAGCACATGCCAGGGAGAAGGTAGTAGGTAAAAGCAAGTGATTTACAACCAAGGAGATACGTTCTTTTCCACACAGTGGTGTTCACAGAGGTGGAAAGAATGTTGTCTAGGGTTTGACACAGTGGGCAAATGGGAATTGTTCTTCTTGCCAGCTATGTATCTTTGGACACATTCCCTAACCTATCTCTACTTCAGCTGTTCCATCTGTGAAATGCAACTAAAAAGTATATTATGAGACTTAACAAAGATTAACAAAGATAATATCTGAAAAAGACTTAGCACACAGCCCACAGGCCCAAACAAATATTATATTTCCTTTTCTAGTGGTTATTTTGAAAATACCGTAAAATTAAAATAGAAAAGATGCCATCTTTCAAAATGAGACAGTCCTTTCCCATTGGTCTAAGCACTCCAGACTCAATGCTTCATTAACCTATCATGACCCACTGCATTGAGAAAATTGCCTTCACCAACCTTGTCTATCTGAGATCGATGTTTTCCACATGTCCCCTAAGCCCTTAATTAACCATTTTCCCTAAATAGAAAGATAAATTATAAAATTAACCCTACAAATATAGTTACTGAAGTAATTTCTATTCTTTCCTTATTCTGAATTATTCTTTAAATAATTGATGTTCTTTCCTTTCCATGGAGCAACACGAGCCTGAGCAATGCGTGTTTTTAATCACTAGATGAATTTAAACACTAGGTGGCGTGCTGATACCGCTGTCTGCACCGCCAGCTCAAAATTCCTAATAGGATAAATGTGTACATTTATTTCATTTTTGTGAAGATAGCATACATTTAAACTTCATTCTTAGAAGATGAATTTGCAAAGGAAAAACACCCTTTTCAACCCATACTGTTTGATTGCTTCCAGAAATTCACCTCCACCTACTTTATCCATCTGAGGTGGTCAGTGCTTTACATAAGCTCCTGAAATCCTTCATAGCGTTGAAGGAATGGAATGCATTTCCTAAAGTTTCAGATAGGAATAGCAGAAAGCAAAAATTAGGGAAAGAAGGACAGACAGCAGGGTAGCGGGGGAGAGATACAGACAGATGTATCGAAGTGCATCATTTATCATCTGGATTTTTTTAAGTACATATATTTTAATTACAACGAGTATTGGTGATCCATGCTATTCATTCAACCCTCAGAGGGTGAACATAAATGGAGAACCTACAACAATCCAGGCACCGGTCTAAAGTTGTTGAAAAGATACGTGATTTCTTCTGTCTCAAGACCATGTTCGGAGGATGAGAAAAGCAATGTGAATTACAGTTGAGATGGGCCAACGCTAAATCATCTCAAAAGGCTTGGCTGAAGCCAGCACTCACACCTCAGATCTTAAATATAATGTAGGTTAGGAGGTAGTGTATTTAGGAGCCTTCTTGGAATGATTTGTGAAAATCTGAATCTTTTACGAAATTTGACTTGGGTAGTACGGGGATTAGAGAGCAAATCCCGAAT